CATGCTTTCGAGAGGGACGAGCTGCTTGAGCAGATAGACGAACTACATAAGCAGTTGCAAGTGGTCCAGAACGTGAACAAAGTGCTCGAAGAGGATGTGAACCAGAAGTCCGCTCAGGTGCCTTGAATAAATTTCAGTCAGACACCGACAATAAATCGACGGATTCCTTCGGTATCAAACGATCTCGTCTCTTTAAGATTGTGAGCCTGACAGCGAGTTTGCTCGAGAAACAAGCTCAAGAAGAGCGCCTCACAGCAGACTTGCGCTTCACTGCGGCCGAGCGCGAGATCGCTTTGAGGGATCTGCACGATGTACAGGACTCGAGTGTTTCGAGCCGAAGCCATTCAGAGGTAAAGCTCTCACAATTGAGACGCTAGGATTCCTCAAGATCGATCCGAGGTCAGACGGGTAAACGAGGGAAAATGGTGGGTACAGGACTGTTTATGCTTTACAGGAGTGTCTCCGGAGCACCAGCATCGGGAGCTCCATCGGTGAAGAGTTGGGTTTGCCAAATGGATTTCCTTTCCCCGGCGAGGTGCGATACTCCTTCCGACGTCCGGTGCTCCCGTTCCGTAATGAGTCCGCCCCCGCGGACAGAGACTGGGGACGAGCATGTAAAAAACAATTTTTTGGAAAATATTCATTGCAGAGACCGTACTCTCGGGCTTCATTCGATTGGGAAGAGCTATTGGAAGAACCCGAAGCTGGACCAGTGTCGGATTTCGAAGAAGCTCAAGCATCGATGTCTGGGAGGAGCTCAGTCGAGTCTGAGATGCAGATATCCGTGGACCTAGGCGGTACGTATCAGCCACATCAGTGAGCGCTTTGATTGACGGCGTGTGGTCGCCTGCGCGGCGCCCATAGGAGAGTTTGATGATCCCGGAGGGGGGGGAACCCGGTCAACAGCCGCGAGACAATCCACAGCCTCGACTGTTCGAGGAGTGTGTCTGCCAATGAAGAGTGAGGGAACGCTCACTCCTGTGGATCTAGCTTGATTCATCTAATTCTCGAGTTATTTTAGAGGCTCGGAGCGAGACATCGGACGAACTTGCGACGAGCGTCGTGGAGATTCAAACGGAGCAGCGACAGATCGAGACAGAGTCAGGAATTCTTGCATACCCTACTCCGAAGAGCTCTCCGAAGGGATGGAACGCTAATTTGTTCTCGGTGAGCAAATCTATACTTCTCTTGAGTTCTCGAGGAGCAGAGGGGCTCGCAACAGAAGTCCGAACAAATATCCAGCGTGAGAAGCTCACACTGGGGCCGGAGACTAGAGTCGGGAAAAATCCGGGGAACGTACCCGAGGGTCGAGGATTTGACGCTAACGAGCGCAACTACCAGGAACGAACGCTGTCAGGGTATCTTGCGATGCATCAGAGCTCGCAATCCGGCGCTCCTCCCTGCGGCGCATGAAAGTTGGCAGTATGTTGGCATGAAAGATATTCGGGGTTCCGGAAACCTTTGATGTTGAGCCCGGGATTGATTCGTAGCGGCCTTACAGGCTCTTCAGTCCGTTTGTCCTACGCTCTCGGGTCCCTTCCGTCGAAGAGCTCAAGGGAACATGGCATTGAGATCAATCTCAGAAAATTGTAAGCGGGGGAAGATTTGGGCCGAGGACGGCCACGATCAGACGGAGAGCCTCGCAGCGATCATCCGATCGGAGTCACCGACCGAATTTTCGCTCAGGACTTCCGGAGACGCACACTTAGATTGAGGAGAGAGGTTTTATTCGGGAGAAAACCCCCGACCGGAAGTTGAGGTGCCTCCAGAATGCGAAGATTTCAGTCGGCTATTCAGTGCACTTTCGTATTCGATTGGACACAGGGATGCTCGGTATACCCTAAGTTCAGGTATTAGGGTCGCTGATTCCACATGAGATCGATATCGAATGGAACATGAATAATAAATTGGAATCCAAGACTATAAAATCTTTCGAAGATGCTGGTAGTATTCCTTCAGTGCGATCGCGAAAGTCGACCTTAGAAGTATCGGCCCGTGAGAAAGTTGTGGTGGGTACGCAGCTCATACTGGTCTGATCGAAATGCGAAGATGACCGCCGATTTTGTTCCAGGACGCGCACTCATTCAACTGGGGCTCCTTCGTCTGCTGCGTACCCACTCCAAACTCGCCGGTTCGTCCATCCCCGAGGAAGGGGAAAACCTCGCGAGGCTTCCTCACCTATATGAAGAGTAAACTCCGTCGGAATTCTCGAAAACTCATTCTTAACTAAAGTCTAGCGGAAGATCACGCCAGACAAATCCGAGGCTCACGTCCGTAGGAGGTGCTCGTCGAATGTGAATTGCTTCCGTCTCGGACCTCTAAGCTTTTTCCATTTGTATTTTTGGCACACTGTATGAGGAAGAGAACCAGTCGTGGATTTTAATTTTATGTACGGAGTGGCTCGTCTGCGGCATGGCTTCGTAGTGACCTTGAAGTTGACAAGAGGGCAGAAGTTATGTTCGTGCTGATAATGTTGATCGGCAAGATGGTCCCCCTCCCTTTGCCTAATTTGTATTGTTCGCAGGCATCCTGGGATTCCTAGAAGATGGTCGGCTTCTGACCCGGTCAGAATAAGTTTCATTGTATATCCAGCGATCTAATGAATAAGAGCTCGTAGAAGCGCCAAGTTTGGTGGCCGCAATATCTTCGTGAGCAGGAGCACTATTGACCTCGAGAGGATGAAATATCCTGAATTCTATTGCATTAAAGTTAAACAGTAATAAGGGATAATTGTAGTACTGCGAGTCTGTGATTTGACTTCTGAGCATAAATTAAATGAATACTACCGACGAGAGCTCTTCGCCTGTATGAAATAGCTACCAGCCATTATCCGCAAGCTCACTGGTTACAATTCTTCCCTGCGTGCTCCGTATGAGTGAATTGACTTCTTTCCACCTTCTCACGTTTTATTTTAACATCGAAGACCTCTTAAGCTAAGGCGAGGAAACAATCATTCATATTCGCTACGAATATTGTAGTCACATTATGCGTCTCGCTATAGGTACTCCGCGAAGCCAAGGCCTTTCTTGTCGGCACTAAGTACGTGGTATAAAAACAAATGAGATGGAAAGACGATCTCTTTGTCTCGCCGGCATGGTTCCGCGGTGTGCATCTCGGCGACTTGTTATGGTGATTGGTTCCTGGACTCCGCCAGAGCTATCACAATCTCGCTGGTAGTCAATGTAACGTTCGAGGGGGATCGTCGAGATCCTTCGAAGCGTGTGCAGCTACACCAAGGAACGTTGTCAGTATCTTCACTTCGAGACGACCCTCATTTGAAAAACAATCGTTTTTCTTTCTTCGTCTCGGGTTGGACCTACGGGAACGAACCACTCATGAGCTCCCAAAGGTTCAGAGTTACGTGTGGATGAATGCCCTCTGCGCAGCGATACATGCTCTTGAAGATGGTTTCCAATGTCAGCGAGTACACTCACCCTATTCCCGAACAGCAGGATCCGACGCTGCTCGTCACTGACTTCTGATTTCACCTCCGGCTTCCCACCGTTGCCCGAAGCGCTCTCCGCCAGGGAGATGCTTGCCGTTGTCGTCGTTGTTGACTGCAATCACAATTTCATCATCGGATGGAACGGCGAACCGAGAAAAGAGTCAAGATATCTGATAGGGGGAGGGGCTCCTGGAGGCTCTGCCGGATTGACGTCCCTACAAGGAGGAAGTCCCGGCGGAGCATGTCTCTGCTAACGTTTACTCACCTTAATCAGGAGCTTCTGCCTGATAGCCTGCGACAGCAGCGATTGACGAGCGTTGATTTTGATGATGATCAAGAGATCGAGCCAAGTGCAGGTTTTATTGTGCAGTTCGATGGTCGGCAGCACGAGAGAGTAGTCGATCAAGTCTCTTATAAGATCTTTCTTTTCCTTCTCGCTCTTGTAGGTAAGCCTGCAATGTTGCCTCCTTTGCTCAGTACCTTTATCGAAATAGGCTTACTATCTCCGAACAATCAGAAAATAGCGTGTTATGACGAAGGTCTCGTGTGACCCACCTCATTGGGACCTCTGGTATTTTTATGTACAGGAATGTCTGGTTATTCGCGGCTCTCTCTTTCATCTTCTCAATGTCGTCGTGCCCGACCGGATTCCGATCCCCCTGTTGAAGTTACAGAAAGAACCGAGTTCATCAGTCACTTGCACAGAACAGATAAACATTCTTGGATAATTGCACCGCTTATTCTCGAATTCTTCGATTTAGACTCTGTGAACCAAGCTGCCTCGCTTGACAATCTCGTATCGTACCCGTCGGCGATCCTTTTTGCGCGGGTTTTCTTTCGGTTGCACGGGTACATCATCCCCGTCGACAGCTTTCTCTGTAAGACGAAAAGAAACTCGTTGGGATGATTCCAGGTCGGATTCGACGGTTTCCATCAACGCCGTGTAGCCGAGAGCCTAGATGACCTCTAACCTGCTTCTTTCCTCGAGAAGAAGAATGTCAGCAGCTTTCGGGAGAGTGCAGACGTCAGGCATATGCTTATAGGGACGATGTTGACCTCCAGATGTTCTTTCACGGAAATCCCTCCGACTGGTGCGCGTACTCGACAGAAGATGCGCAGCGCTCGCTGCCGCTCGACGGGTACGTGTGACGGAGCTTCGGTTGGTTGCAGAACGTCTCGGTAGACGTCGGTAGGAGTTTCGTTAGTCACCTGCAGGACCCAGCCTGATTTTAAAATTCATCTGCTCCGGGAATCAGTCAGCTTTCCATTCCCATTGGGATATCGAAGCGATTTGTATGACCCGACACCCGACGGTGGGGGGAAATGATCAGGTTCGAAAGGCCTCACCTTCATGTTGCCGAGTTCGAGTAGATGCTCAACGGAGTCGGTTGATTTCGTTGTCCGAGAATACCTGAACCGAGTGGGAATAAGAGACATCACGTAAGGTGGAAGGAGAGAATCTTTGCCCAGAGGCAATCGACCGGAAGATTCTGACATCGACTGATGATCTTGAGGAAATCGACTTATGATATGATCCTGGGCTGTCTCTTTCCGAGCGGGTCCGATCAACTAGGTACTCACAGGAAATTGCTCAGAACGATTTCCGCAATGCCGAGTTGACCGTCCTCATCGGTCAACTTCCATAGGGCATGCTTGAAAGACACCTCACTCCGACGAACGGTCGATATTTTGGTGTGCTCCAACAACTGTCGCTGGGATTTCCAAGCGGCAACTTGAGTTTCTCGATAACAGTTCACCTGGAACGATACGGTCGACTCTCATTCTCGTGGTGTCCACGCTATATAAGGCCCGGATCGGGCGATGAGTCGCATTATAGGGGCATCCCTCGAAATTATGAGGTTTACCATGAGAGTGAGATCTTCGCTCGTTAGATGTAGCTGTTTCTTCTTGACAAGAATCTCCTGCTCTAGCATGGCGAGCCTCTCTATCAATTCTTCGTCTTCAGGACTGGTTTCGAGTCTTCTCTGTGTTGCGAAGGCTTTCTTCTCGAGCTCTTTGTGCAGGGCAATCAGCTCTCTGGGGAAATAGAGAGGGATAAGGACGCTCGTTGATATAGATGAGCTAAGATCAATGAGGCCGACGGCAGCGGGAGACATTCTTACCTCGCCTTGTTTTGCAGACTGATGATGGGACCCCTCTGATCTTTGTCTTGTTCGAGTTGGAGTTCGAAGCGCATTCGTTGGAGACGTTCGTTCGCCTCTTTCCTCCGAGGCTCAACGTAGAGTAATAGGTTGTTCACGAGGTCGAGAATCATCGAATACTGCAGTGGATTCGTACAGACCTGGAATAGGAGACAGAGGAGACCTGATGAAACTTCCCATGGTTCCCCTCAGCCACTGTTTCCTCTGAAGAAGAAGCAGAACCGTGTTCGAAGGACCATCTGGGTAGTCCCGTTTACCTGGAGGTCGTGGTGGATGAGCGTGAAGGAGTCGACGGCCACCTCGTGTTCCCAAGGATCGTCGGGATCCTTCTCATCGGGCTGCGGAACGAGGTGGAGGCATCGCATTAGCTTTGTCGCAGTCTCATGCCGAGCGGACTCATCCTGATCTGACTCACCCATGGAGACTCACCAGAGGTGGCACTTCTTCGAGGGTCGCGGGATCGATTCCCTGCTCGCCGAAGCTTGCGTAAAAGAATTGGCATCCGCAGCGCGAAATTATTCTCTGCAGCTGAGCTTTCCGCTCCTCGCCGCCTTCTCCGCCGCCAACATCGGCGGATACGACTCCTCCGACGCTGTGACCTGACCCGACTATATCGGCGTAATCGGTTATATCTGTCTCACGAGCTTCGATGTTCTCCGTCGTCAGCCACTGTACGTCGTCCTCGGTACTGCCGACGTTTTCGACCGTGGCATAGTATTGCATACAGTCCAAAGTACCCTTCCAGGTCGTTTTCGGTACAAGATTGTTGTCTTTCCACACAGGTGTATGAATTCTTTGAAGGATTTGAGCTTTTGCAGCGCTCAAAATAACGTATCCTGGGGAATCACAGCCTCGGAGCATCACCTGTGGGTGAGTGTCGAATGATTCCAAGAACGGAATGTCCGCGTCGAGTTCCCGCCCGGTCGAGCTAAGTCGAAGGATGTCGGTACCTGAGAATTGCGTAGTTCGATGAGCCAGTTATGGCATAGGACATCGTCGAGTTGACATTCTTTGACACCTGTGAGGTTAACTGGTTCAGGGGTATCGACCGACTCCGTGAATACCAGATTGTGATCAACTGCGGAAGAGCGAAATATTTAGGAGAATCGCCGAAATCGTCGACATGGGGAACGGGACATAAGGAATAAGGTTTTGGCGTTTCGACCCATGCGTCAGACAAGGGAAACTGGGATGGCTCTGTTGCCCCGGGGGAATGAGAAGGAACCTCCCCCCAAATTCTAGATCATAGATATGTGATCAGAGAGATCTATCACCTGATTCGGCGATCAATTTTTCCAGCATGGAGAAAGCTTTGGATGACGACGATCTGTTCGCGCTGGCATTCGCCATTGAACTCCCTCCCAAGTTTGGGGTGGTGGAAGGCGACGAAACCTGCGAATAAGTGACGAGATGCTGAGAAACCGTTTCGAGGAGAAACCTTCCGTTTCCGTGAACACTGATCGGAGCATGCTCTGTGTAGGCCCCGAAAGAGATCTCCTATTCCATACTCCCTTCCGGAGAACCCTACAACCGCAGTTTTCAAGATGGCTCGCTTACTTTCCGACCGCTCTTGTTCGCTTGCTCCATCTTGAATGGCTTCAGAGCCTCGTTCGTCATGTTTCGTCGCAGATTGACGGCATTTATGAAGGTGTCGAACAACCCGAAAACTACGTCTCGGTTGTGTTTCGTCCAAGCGCCCTACACGAAGCAGAAATTTCATGTTATCAATTGAGTCTCTCGGAGATTCTCCCGTTCCACTCCGAAGGCCCCGTCCCTTCATTATCCCGTGAAGGATCATAGATAAACCAGATCGCATTTGGGGCGATCGATGCCGAGTACCTTGAGACCATGAACTGCCAGCCTATGCAGAGGCGTTTCGTCCGCAAGCGACTCAGGGACATTGTGCAGCTTTGTTTCTCTTCCGTAGGAAACGCAAGCGACGCTCAGGAAATATCTGGAATCGATTGAGCTCGTAGATTGGCCCCAAAGTAGGCAGAGAGTCAAGCTGATAGAGAACGAAACAGCTATGTGAGTCTCATTGCTAGAAATAGCCAATACCTTTTCAGAGCTTCTTCGTTACCCTCGTCCATATGATACAACCAAATATGGCTGCAATCGCTGAGCTCACAGTTCATGTAGACAGTGCTCCAACTGGGCTTTTGCCTGTGAACGAACGAAAATTCATGAACGGGTCGGGAACGAGCAGGGAAGAAAGGAGATTTGCGAAATGCAGGTAGTTGGTTGCAAGCCCAAATCCAAGGAACGGAATGTCGGCGAGAGATCACGAAGCATCCAATCAGCCTCCAGCTTTTGCTGCATCTGTTGCGATGGATGCAGCCAGCCGAAAACAGGGAGGGAGCCAGAGAACAACGTTAAAGCATCTACAGAACGATAGCCACTGATATTGTGATCCTCATGGGGAAGCGCTATCTAAATGGCGTTTCAGCTGCTAAATAGTGGATCGATGCCCCGAGCCGCCTCCTGGAGAGATGATCTTGGGGGGGACAGCGCAGTGTACTTCGGGCGACTGTCCAAGCCTAGTGCGCATTCGGAGCCCGCTCACTGCTCGTTGCTAAGGGACCGCAGGCCTCGGAGTCGAGCCTTACCTTATATTGTCAAATAGAAACACAATCGGTCCACTGAGAAAGCAGTGATAAAGATTCGCGTTGAGTTCATTTTTTCACACCGCCGAAGCAGAGTGAAACACCAGGCAAACATTATCCGAATCAAAGCATGACCATGTTCAGGATTCTCGGGATCCCGAAGAAACCAGAAATTCTCACTCCCTCATATCCGAAATCTTTATCCCACAGAGAAATGAGGAATCTCGTCTTCTACACTCATCACCCACCTCATTTGATTGAAATCGTTGCGTACGGCCAACATCGTCAGGTTATGTTCGCAACTCAACTGGAAGCGACCGCTGTCTAACTCGAAGCCATCGTGTTTGGCCAAACTCGTCCAGCAAGAGACCTGGAGAGCATTGTGTCCTTCAGGTTCTTCCGGGACTCATTTCATGAATACAGTCGAGTATACTATACTGCGCTGCTGAAATACTATACTGCGGCTGCATTGAAACTCACTTGGAAGCGATGAAGGGAGATGGTGAGGGTGACATTATGAAAATGTTTGGAGAGCTGGGTCTTACGCGGCCTCGTATTGCCGAAGAGCTTTCCGCGCCGCGTGAGCTTCGCCAGCCCTGCCACTATAGATTTGAAGTTCTCCAACCACCTTGGGCATGAAAAAAATTGGGCTGAGATCACCCGAATATCGTTAAGGGTTCCTCGCGGTGGCGAATTCCGTTCGTTCGAAATTGATTCCCTTGCTCCGCGAGCTTCCATTCCCTCACCGAATAGTGGCACTGTAAAGCAGGAGTCGAGGCGTGTCGTTGGGATCATCTTCGCCGTCCGTACCATTGGCAGCGGTTCTCGTTTCGAGAGAAACGCTCATGTCTACGCTCGTGGATCGGAAGGCTCGGTATGAATCATGTCGTTGATGGATGGAGTACTCTGGAAGTTTGTCCGTCGCGCACGGCATCATAGAATGGTGGTCGAATGGATTGGCTAGACAACGCCAAGTCAATTTAACTCTGAAAATCGAGCGAATGATGATAGCCTCGTGACAGTCTCCGGATAGTGACCTGAACGAGACAGATCCCCGACACCCTGGAGGCAATGGGAATCCTGCGATGGGAATGGCTTACGATAGTTTAAGATTCGGGAAATGCAGGAGATGACTCGCGTGATATCTACTGGCGGTGTAAATCATCTGATCCAGGTTTCCTTGACAGATTATGCGTCCATTGTGCCTGAGAAACATATGAGCATTGGTGACTCGGAAATCTCTCGGGGTCCATAGATCGAGGGAGGATGTGCGGCTCTGATTGCAACATCTCAACCGTTGGGGGAGCATGAGAGACCCTCACCAGTAAACCATAGCATTGGTCCAAGTAGTGTCCAGCATTTCCGTACAGTTATAAGGATTCAGCGAGGCGTGCTGAAGATAGGAAAGCCTGTGGCCGGACACGGTTAACTTGCCGTGGGTCAGGAGCCTAGCTTTATCCCACCATGGGAGAGGCGGAGACGGATCCGTTGACGGCTTGTTAATCAGGTCCAGAGCCAAATTCACCTGCAATCCGGAAGGTCGGATGAGTCTCGCATGAAACAGGGATGATGATGACTCTCGACGATGAGCAGGGAGAGCTTGATTTGATTCGAGACCTGAGCAAGAATGGGTTCCCAACAGCTTCCGTAGACCCACGTATACGTATTGAGGTCGAAAGTCATGTCGTAGAAAAATTTGAGCGGCGGCATGTTTCGTTCGATGATCCGATTCTCAAACGGTGCATTCAGTTCAACAATGCAAGTTCTGAAAACCGAGAATTCCGAGAAGATTGTGATAATTGCTCGCGGGCTTATAGTCTGCCCCTCTTGGAGCTTGAGCTAAATATTATCACCTCTTGGCACGCGCCGTTCCTTCTTGCTCGGCGCCCACGAGTTTCCCGAACCAATAGAAATCGTCGACCTCGACGAACTTCTTGGGGAAATCACGTAGAGAACACTCGATGCTCTGACAGCTACCGCTCACAACACGACACCACAGGGTTGCAAACTCGGTGTCTTCGGGCAGAGGGCTGTCGGGATGATTACTCGATTGAATAATTATTCAGCAAACAGGAGTTCGATTTTCATTTCCGATCCAGCGATTCGCAGTAGAACTCACCTATTCGGATTCAACTGTTTTATCAAGGCGACGCATTTTTCCATACCATGGAAACTGGGGTCAGCCATCGCAGAGAATTCCAAATCGCTCAAAACCCATCTGATCAGGGACTGTCGAGAGCTTTCGTATAATTGGCGTGATCTTTTGATGTATTGGTCGACGTTCATCTTGTCTAGGGCCTGCAAAGATTCGAAGTCCAGGAGCTCTTTCGAAAAGAGGAGTCTTGGGAAGCCTTCGAAGAACTTGAACCTTGAGCGGTTCATCGTCAAACCCCGCGGCACACGCAGACATCATGAGTCGAGAGGAAGCAAACGTTCGGAATGTCAGCACTCACTTGATAGAGCTCTCCAATTGTAGCTTCGGTCATAAGCAAATTCGATTTCCGGAATTCGTCTATTTTCAAATCCAGAGCGTGTCTCCTCTTACAGCTTTCGAAATATTCATCTTCCAGCAGCTGGTAGTTCTGCCGAAGTTTAACTTCGAATGGATCGTCCTGTATTTCTAGAGTTATTGATTTTGCGCGTATGGTGAGATCAGCGGGGAGCGGTGATTCTGATGTGAACGGTGATTTCTTTTTGCCGTGAACCAGCTTCATCCATTTGAAGCAGCTTATGAAATCTTCGCTGAAAGCCTCGGCGAAGTTGTAATCGTGAGGGAAGTCGATTCCGATATGTCCGAAGGACAACTGCCACCTGGGAAATACAGGTATGATTACGGACTGTGCACCCCATTTGGAGATGGGGAGAGGATGGTTCCCTTGCTGGGACCGTATCGCAAGAGAAGCGGCTATCCTGCTAGCCGAAAGGCGTCAGGATTGAGATAATGATTCATACTCTCCTTCAAATAATTATGTGAAGGTCAGGTATGAGAGGGAAGAACCGACTACCAGGAACTCAGAGAGATGCGATAAATTAGTTGGCGAGTCCTACCTCCTATTTTCCTCTTGCTCGAGTGCCCCCGAGTCCCTGAAGTGTTTACGGAGAACGCGACTTTCCTCGCTGATCGAGTTGAGAGCATACTCTATCTTCTCGAAGGTGAATATTTCGTGTTCATCAAAACGACAAATCAACTTGTCGCTGGAAATTTTCGCCTCGTTCGGTCTGCGTTTCCAGACGAAATCGTTCCCGATGAAATACATGCTATGCTTGGCGCTCAATCGGAACTCGAGAACAGAGTCTCCGCGGAATGCCAGCTTGAAGTTCTGGAAAGCGGGAATCGTCTATCGGTTGTCGTGTCCAAGGATTCGAGGATATTAGACCTGAACTCACAGTTCTTGATTTCTCTCGGGGAGCCGCACTATCCGACGGGGCTGCGCCGTTCCTCAGAATGGATCTCGTGTCGTTGATAAGCGTGATCACGTGGAGATAGGCTGTTGTGGTCCACCACAACCTTGACAGCTGGAGCAGATTTGGAAGTGTAAAATGAGACAGTCCCGAGTTTGAACAAAGGTCTCCGAGGGAGTTGGTTACATGTTACCTCTGCGAATTCCAGCGATATTTCCTCGGCCTTCCATCGGAAAATCATCGTTTTCACGTAAGCGTTTCTGTTCGCCATCAGTTTCGCCGGCAGAACCTGAAACCCGCGAGCTTAGAATTGAAGCGACATGAGGAGCGTACGGCGATCCATCGCGCCCTCTCGGAAAGTGTTGACCCCTGACCAACCTGATAATAAGGTCCCTCGTTCTCAACGACTTTCAATGAGCTCTCTTCTGCAAGGCACTTGATCGAGATCTTGTCCGCGGCAATCTTCAATGTATCCATACGCAAAGCGACGTAGTGGTTCACGGAGTTTGCAGCGAAGATGTTGGCGTTCGTGAATGTCAGATCAATACGAGTTTTCTTCTTCGTATCCCTCGGTGGATCAAGCTCAACATCTCGCTTGGATGTTTCTGAAAATTTCACCGGAGTTGAATATCTTCCCAGATCGTCTTCTCAGGTTGACGTTTCGCAAGACTATGGGAACGGGGTGTGGGCTAGAACGCAGCCCGTCCCTGGATGCAAAGCTCGGAATCCCCGCCTCTCTACCTTTCTCTTTCTGTCGTAGGATCTGGAGCAATTCCAGGAGTGCAGGCGTAGTTTCGATATGTATGTCATTGGTCGAGCCTTCGAGTTGGAACTTCTTGGCGGAGTCTTTCACCTGAACAACGCACATCCCAAAAGCTAGAGGCATTTTCCAGGCATGGAACTTCTTCAACGTTGATGCCTGAAATGATATAGACTAGCGAAATCTGGCCACAATGGTTAGAGCTTCTACTCCTCGGCCTCCCTGTATCGATGAGGTCAACTCACTGATTCGGGAATGCGCTTCTCGAGAATACACCTTTATCTGTTCCCGGATGCTCACCTGTATCGAAGGGAACGAGCCGATAGCGCATACACCGGTCGCCATCATCACTTCTGCGTTGGTCTCCCACCGTCCGCTCAGGTCTCGCTGAAGATCTGATCGATAGAGGATGCTTTTGAATAATCATGCTCATGAATGGTCGCTGGTTATTAAGAAGTGCTACCTGGGCGAGAGTTCTCGGGAGAAACATGCCACTCACCAAGTTCCACAGTGAATCTCGATACGCCAGCGTTGAGCTTCGGGGCCTTCACCTGAGCCTCGCCAGGCTTCAGAGAGGTCATGAGATCACAAACTTGGAGAGAGACGTTCACCGTGCGGAGCAGGAAATCGTCCTCTTTCCATTCAGTTTTGCTGCGGATGGTTGAGAAATGTAGGAACTCCACTGACTGAGATTCTAAAAAAACGACTGGCTGCCTGGCGTTTGGTGAATCGGATCCCGAGATACTCACGTCGGATTCACAGAATGCGGGTCTTGTCCACCTTTCGCGAGCTGCTCCGTTCTCTGGGCAGTAGCCCATCCGACCCAATAATGCATTTCGTCCTTGTTATAGTTTGCGTAGAATGATTGCACTTTCAAAGCTACCGAGAGATCACAATAATTCTCCAGAGTTGTCTCCATCTCGACTAGGGCCAGACTCGCCATCCTCGTCGCCTCTGAACTGAAGCTTGCGTCTTTCAGGACGATGTTGCAGACCTACGAGGCATGCAATGAATTAAACTGCGGTTCAAGATTGCGATTGCCTCCGGATAAATCGAATGTCTATCGAGACGGATCCCCGAATCAATGCTTACGGCTCCACTGTCATTGCACAACGAACTCGTCAGCTGATCCAGTTCGAATGACAGACCAGGCATCCAATTTTCTTTCATCACTTTGAAACTCAATGAACTCAGCGAAAAGTTCACCTGGAAGTTATAGACGAACTTCTTGAGAGTCTGAGTATTTCATCGCTCCACGATTAAGTAGCCGAGGCACTGCGGTTCATTATGAGGGGCATTTATGGCAGCTCAGCCGGAGTATCTCGGGTACCCACCTTTCGCGGCAGACGCAGCATGTGACGCCGGAGGCGCGCCCTCTTTGAATCATCCGCAGGCTCGGAAGATCTCCGAGTGGGAGACGCTTGGCGGAAGATCTTATGAATTTGCAGGTTTTCGCTTATGGTCAGTACGGGGTTCCGGATGTCAACTTCCAGAGATTTTAAAAGGAACGGGGACCCCAGAAGTATTGAAAGTCTGCACTCGGCATCGACGTACGCATTGGCGAGACAAGTATCACGCTTTTTATCCGGTTGTTTGAAAATCCGGAGAGCGGCAGACTTCACGCTGAAGTTTATCGAACAGGATTCCTTGTTCTTTGCGTAGGCGAATAAGGTGAGCTCCTAAATATAAAGGGACTTCACTTCAGGACGAGTTCTTCATCGATTGATTCGGCGGCGCTGACAGATCCATGATTCCGCTTACCTTGAACGTCGTGTGCACTAGAGAGTCGTTTCCACCATCCAATTGCATAATATCAACGTTGTACAGGTGCAACGAAATATTCTGAAATTAGATCAGGAGAACTAGAAGAGCTCCGATGTCAGGTTCATCACTCAGCGTGAGGATACGGCCACATCTAGGGGGAACTGATCCCCGGAAAGAATGGTGCGTCTCACCTTGAGGGCTGTGATTATGTTAGACGGCAGCTTCCCTTGCGAGTCCTGATTGTTCACAGAATTGGAGTCGTGCGACTCGCGATCATCTTCCGGGTTTTCCGATTCTTCAAGTAAACTGTCGAAGTTCAGCTGTAGGCGAACGTCTGAGAAACAGACGGCCACGAGTGATGAATAATCGTTGGAAAAAATGCAGGACGAAACCCACATCCGCTCGGCTTGCTGCGAGAGAAATCGACTTATTCTTTCAACGCGCTCTTCCGACTAATGTCAATTGAGATCGGTCTCCCGCAGATGGAACATATGATCCCCAAGCAGAGCACGGGTCGCTTACCAGGACCGTCCCATTCTCCAATTGGACATAGAGATCCTGTATGAAGAAGAACTTGAAGAATTTTAGTCGCCCGATCCGAACTTTGACGTTGAGCTTGCGTTGAATGTACCGAGTTATCAGGAACAGGATCAACCTGCCGGATGATTGAATCATATGTAGAGCTTGTAGTCTTAGCTACGATGTGATATCCTGGAAATTCTTACTACGCAAGTTCTACCGTATCCTCGCGAAAGCGAGGGCTCCGCGATATTTCAGAGTCACGAATCCCCCTCCGGCCACTGAGTGGGATGGGGCATCAGCAGTTACGCTTGCCAAGTTCTGAGGTTGGAGTGGCAAAGAATCGAAGCGCTCTCACAGCCAGGCTCCCCAAGCTCTTCCCATGGCATATAACTTCCGGAGCATGATCCTTTCCTCAGTGAGGAGGGGAGATAAGATCTCATCGATCTCTCATCTCATCGCGGGAGGATCGAGGTGAGAAGACCAAAGGTCTAAGGTATAGGTATTTGTAACTTTGCGAAGGGTCGACTACGTGAAGCGACCAACACGGGCTCATCCTCTCGGGATATGTCATTTGTCCCAATCGAGCTTTTCCAAGCAGAGAAAATCCTTTATTCATTGGGGAACGCAACGAACCTGTAGATCACAGTCCCGGTCGCGGCGGCGAACACTGCCAATCCGACCAGGAAGATCAGTGAAGCCAGAAGCATTGTGTCTGGCTCCTCGGCACGAAATGTCTATTGAAGTCATATATCGTTGGTGCTCTGATCACATTCTGGAGTCAGCTAACTCGTATGCCCGAGGTGCTTCCCTCGATAATCCGGAGCAAATCTGGATACTTCGTTTCACCGATCTCTCTCAATTCAGAATGGTGCGAAGATTACTCCACTCCAGTTTACATCTGTTTTCTTCGAATGGGTGGCGCCATCTTGATACGCACTCCACTCACCGCGAAGATATAAAGCGAGTGTGTGACTTTGGCGCGTAATTCGAAATTGACAGCTCAAACATCTGATCACCCTCGGGACATTCCCATAATCGAGGAATGGATGATCTGAATACTTGGACGAAACTTCATATTTTGGTGGGATCAGCCACGGACGATACATGTGTCGGAAGCTCGGGGCTTTTTCTTTCAGCAGGCGTTGTGTATCTGGCGAGGCGAATGGGAGGGATCACCCAAGGTCGATTCAGATCTGAGGGGGCTCAAAGTGGCCTTTCAACGATGGCAATGATTGTCCGAGTTCTCCCCCTACGATGGACCGATGCAAAGTACTCTCGCTTCCCGTCACTCGTCCCAATATCGGTTGCGACGACGTACAATTCCGCCTGGAGTAGCGGAAGTACCTATACTCTACTTACAGGTGTTATCGCCTTCTCGACAAGAACGCGAGGAGACTAGAGACTAAACTTGAACGAGCAGGGATGTTCTAGCAGACTCATGTATTTTCTTCGCGGTTTTGACAGTTGTTCCCTTCCGTTCGCGGCATTGTGGCGCCGGAGATGCGGTTTGAGTGTCATCGTTCGCGTAGGCTGTCGCCGATGGAGAAGAATCGTATATTCATGCTCGGAAAGTCGCAGACGTCTATGTGCCGCTATGTCCCGAGGGACCAAAAGCTGACGCATATTTCCCATGGCCTACCTCGGGATGGTACGATTTGAGCGAGTTGTCCGAATCGCCACGTTTCTCCGAGAAAATTGGCTCGCATCTTGACTCCCGAAACGCGTCTCAAGCGAGCTCTGTATTTTAGGCCCGGAGAGAATCTGGAGCACGACATGGTCGTCCGGACCTGATTTGTGAGCAGCTGATAGCGCTCGAATGATCTATTTCGCTCGATTTCGTCTACGATGACCGAACGCGGGAAAGTCAACCCCAATGAGAACACAACGAGAGTCACGGAACGGTGCACGCAAATGCTGTATGACGAAATCGCTGTTCTATCCGATGATTCAGAGCGGAATCATTTCGATCTCAAATCACTGTCCGGGAAAACTGATAGAGAGCTTCATGCGATCCGCAAGGTCGCCTCTCCGTCTATCTATACATTCAGCCCCACTCGTCATCCGAAACCGGCGATGCATGATGTGCTCGGGGCCGAAGAGACGCCTGCAAGATTAAGCCGCGTCGTTCCAGAGAGCGATCCGTCATAGAGGTCTCATAGCTGGCTTCAACTCTTCATTCTTCGGAGCTTGCTATGAGGAACCCTTTGGTCAATGATATGACTGCTCGGAGCGGATTCGCGGATACGCTGAGCGAGTTGACGTTCCTTATGGGGACATTGTGATTCTTCTCAAAACCAGACAGGAAGGGAAAAAGAAGCGAATCGGCTCGTCACAGTCACTTGTCCGGATGCTCTGTGTGGTGGAGCGAGTGTACTCTGTGGAGAACCGTCTTCTTCAGGCTTTTGAGTTTGCTCTGATCATGAAAGCGGCTCCGTACGAGCGCTTGGGATCATTCATTCTGTCCTTATTCTTCCAATCAAGCGGGAGAGACTCTCAGCGCAGCCGCGAGCTCATTCCGGAGAGAATTTCTTCCTCGAAAGAAGGAAACCGATCTCGATCCGTCCACTATCGTAATCTCCTTCTATTCCACCGCCTCATCCCTCTGAAAGAAGCCACCTGAACGAGTTAGAGGTTTCGCTCCTCTGAGCAACCAGAGTGTCCGGTGAATCTTCCTTTGTCTCAACATTCGAAACACACGTAAAGTCGCCGCACCGAGCACGGGGAAATAGACTCGGTGGATCTTGTGCGACGAACATCCTCGAATCGCCCTATTCTTGAATAATTCTCTGAGGGATCAGGAATCCGAGGCCCGGAGGAGATCGAGGATTTCCCCAAACCAAAGTATCCACCAACTCGAAGACATATTTGGTAAATTCATCGCATTTTGAGGAGAATCTAAACATTCCGTCCGACAGTTTTAACGACGGAATCTCTTCACGGATCCGAAGGCATAGGATTGAGCCTCAGTTCTTGCTCCATAGATCCCGCGGTAGCCGACTTCGGAGTGGCGGAGATGACGGGGAAAGAGGCAACGTTCGTGCTCGCCACCGTTCACCAGCTCACCACGTTACTCCTATGTCAAGCGGAAAACGTCTGACGCCGAGCTAGCCTGCGCCTCTCAGCTGGGCGAATATTACGTCTTTACTGTGATTTTCATTTCATTCGTTCCGGAAATCGTCGTTGCTAACGCGCTTCGAGAAGAGAATTCTCAAAGTGAAGGCTGGAAGTTCCGGAGAATTCTCAACATGGAATCGTCCCCTGCCACCGCAAGCCAGCGGATTTCGCTGGGCCTACAACTCTTGAACTTGAAGGTGAGCTCACTCGATTTCCTTCCGATTCGATGCGTTTGAGCATGGATGATCCAGAAACCCGAGACTTTAGAACACATCCAGCGAGAAGCTGTTTCGGCGTTCGTTACGCTCCTAGAATAGTGAGCAGGGAAAAAATCAACTCAAAAACATATGCCATTGTCAAGTTTTCGCCCGTGCTCATCGAGCCACCTAAGCTGCCACCGGCGCTGCGCTGCAACCGCTCTCGCTGACTATTTGGGAGACAGACAAAGCTGCTCCGACACCATGTCCTGTGACGGCGGACTGTCTTGAGCGGAGTAGTTCTATCCAAACCATCGCGATGGAATACATCGCGCTCCAGCGAAGAGCGTCCGGAAAATTAGCTCTCCGAGCTCTCCTGGCCCATTTGCAGAGAAACTGGACAATCCAGTGCCACAGCGATTGGCCGGATACAGAGTCCGAAAATATTCTCTCCGAAAACATCACACGTCTGATATCGCAGTCTGTTTCGCATCGGGACGGTCTCGAGAGTTTCAATACACGAATATTTTTGATATTCCGCCTTGTCTTTGAGGAATCGCGCATAGTATCGGTGTCTGTTGTCTGAGACTGTTTTGCGGTCGACGCTGCTGCTGAGAACACAAACAAGGAGAGTGCGCTGGTGAATTAGATCGTGTTGCTGTTGTTCTAGACGTGGGTTCAAAGATCTCATCTCTCCCTATCGAACACTCATCCTTCCGCCGCGCATCTTCTCCTCGCTATACTCGTCGTCCATCCGAATTTCTGAAGCGTGAAAAATTGATGTTGCGATGACTTCGGTGTGATCCGGATTCATACGAACGTCTATTCCCCGACGTTCGACCCACTTGATAGAGACAAACGAAAAACCCAAGAGTGCACCACCAAACAGAGCCCCTTTATCGACGATTATCGGAAGTGCTCGGGCTATCATGAGCCTGCATTTCAATTGTGTCTACCGAACCTGTTCACGTCCCTCCACGGAGCAACCTAACGAACATTCGATCTTGGCGACGCCGAGTTTTTCGTCCGCGCCATGTGGAATCTTTCGAAGAATCACATATAACAGAACTTAGAGTTACCGACTAGAATTCCTACTCCATTCAAGCCTTCTGCGAGCCGGAACACCGAAAAAGCACCATCGTCGAAAAAAGTCATGCGACTTCAAATATTTTTCGTGGCTCGATGACGATCAGCCTGTGGGATGGCCGCGTCGGGTCATGCTTTCAGAAAAACAATGAGTCAGCGATTAGATCAACGGTACACTAAGTAGGCTCGGTTCTGTCATAAAGGACCCTTGCTCCGGTCGAAAGTCCAGGAAACATCAGTATTCGGGGGAGATGTTCACCCAATAGTCCGCGGACTTCTACCCGGAACGCTTCGGATCGCAATAGACTCCAGCGTCCGAGCGATGACCAATAAACGATTCGCCAATGAATTCTTCTAATTCTTGCAGTTCCTGTTCCTTGGACACGTTGCGATCGCATCATGGTGAGTTTAAGTTTATGTTCGAGCTCTGCTCCTTACCCGTTCCTAGATTAACAAGCATGCACACAAGTCTGATGCCTGGAATTGCAGCTTTACGGCGTTGGAATATCATAGATCACGCTTAAGGCTGGGAATCATTCATGGCAATTTTCCCACCCCATTGACATCCTATGGAGAATCGCCCGGGAATACTGTGAAGAGTCACTGCTTTCGGCGCGACCGCGCCAACTTCCCAGCCCTAATCATGCTTATATGAGACCGATACTTGTTCCAGGATCATGATGATGGGGCCTGGCGGAACCGCCTATCTTTTCCACACAAGTGTTCTTGTCATGCTCATCTTCTACGGCATTCACTTCCGAGAGAACCCTGAGCCACTCTTTCTCGTAAGTGTCACCCTGGATTTCGATAAGGAACTGATCCCTAGGATCCCATCTCGACTTAAGCCAATGAAGCCTCGCCTTGGACGATGAGTCACTCCAGTACTAGATATCGCCCGGCGAAGCAAAGCGCGCCCTCTCGTTTGCTTCAGCAGAGGCCTCATCAATGATGCGCCCTTTCGCATGAATTACTGAGATCGTCGGATTTCCTATGGATGTCTCAACTCGACCTCTCGACTGCAAGTATTCGAACAGATCGAAGATTTTCTCCGATTGGGCTAACTGGCCTCACCTTGAAAGACATTGGATCATATCGCCCGGGTTCGGCGAGGCTTTGTTCGTCACCGTCTGCCGTTGGCTCTCTCTCGCGTCGCAGGGCTGAGCGAGGCCCTCGCTTACGAGACGCCCGAAGAAATCAGCCGCCACTCGACAGCAGACCACTCAGCCCACGCAGCATTTCTGGATCCTGTACCCTGTATGGAATACGGAAGCCGCGTATCGGCGACTCAATGTTCTGCTTCAGAAGAAGACTCATGGCCAAGGAGCTTCGACAGAGCAGCCATCGGATTCTCAAGGGTTTGCTGGAATTTTCAAGCTGTTATCTGTCTCGGGGAAGGAGAAGAAGTGTTCTTGTCATCGAATTGTCGGAGCGGATGCGGCCGCCTCGGAGTTTCGGATGGAAATAGATGTTCATGCGAGGAGTCTCGTCGTCAAGAGAACTCTTCCAAGTTGGTCTCCTGGCTAGTATCTATTGCTCAGACTGAGTTAGATTCGTTGTCTGAGCCGAAGGCCGAGGCTTCCCGGAAGAGAGGATCTCGGAATTTTGAGGATTCGAATCGGCAGCGATCTATTCTCCTCGCCAGGTTGAAGGTACTTCTCAATCACGATATAGACTATAGGGGCGCCGCTCGCGATCAAAGTACCGGGACAGCAGAGATACGAAGGAGCTGTCCGATCCTCAGATTCCGCCCGGGTCGGCGCGCCCATAGCCCGGAGTCCCGGTCTTTAAGGTTCTTGTTCTCTTTTTTTGTCCCATCAATAACGGGAATATCTCTCGACATTGCAGGCCGTGTGCGTCGAATCGTTGGCATTCGTGCTGGACCTCTTCCTGATAGCTTTCTATGCGCGATGGTTTCTATCGGTGATGATGATATTGATACACATGATCTTCCGGGTGGTTGCGGGCGTCGTTCTTCTGAGAGAACACCAAGTTCGCGGAGGCCCCATCGTCCAATCGGCTCGTGAGTAATTTAAAGTCTTCAAGTCTTTGCATCTCCTAGAAGCCTCTGTACGCAGTCGCCGCATCGATACTCAGCTGCGCGCGGGAAACTCGTCCCCGCCTTGAACTCGACGTTTCCTGTTCGGTCACGAATTTTTTTCTTGCAGTCAGGGGGGTGATCGTTGAAGGGAATGCGTCCTATGACGACATCGATCAAAGATCCCAGCCTCACATACCGGTGCCAAGGCACACGACGGATATGGGGAATCATTAGGAATTCTCTCAACCTAACTCAATCCGCATGCCTGCACGCCGAGACAGAGACCCACCTGAAGCAGGCCATTGGATCAGAGATCATCGCTCACCGCGGAACGCTCGGAGCGTCCTTCAAAATCAAAGCACTGGATCCAGCGGCATGTCGCGACATACCATGTCGCGTCGTTGGCAGGGACTGCCCTTGAAAGACTCCGGACTCTAGTCATGAGCCGTCAAAGAAGACTAGAAGCGATCTCTTTCGAGCCTTGCATAATGTCAAGCGCTCTGGGTGATTGAACTCAACCAAGATTCGCGGCGGGGGCATGTAGATATCCACTTGACGGACTGATTGTGGGCGGAGTGAGGAGTTGACTGAAACTCATCATCGTCTCGGACTGCTTAATACAGTTCCTCCATCGGTTTTTCATCTCTCGCTAGCAATATTCTCGCCGGGATAGATCCCACACAGCTCCTGATCTTTTGCGTTTCGCGCGCCGGTGTCTGATGTTCGACAAAAACTGTATATAACGCCGTCTATTGACGGAACGTCGATGCGCGCGTTACACTGATGCCCGCATATATTCCGATAGCACCATGACTTTCAGCGGAGCAAGTTCTTCTCACATTGTATACACTCTCCGATTGACTATATCGGAGCACGGCGCTCGCCCCAGAACCCTCCTCTTCTTATCAAGAGTTTCTGATGGAAATTTCTAGAGAATCAGGACTACGAGAGGAGCCTCGAATCTGCCGTAGAACCGCCCTTGAATCTTCACTGTGGTTACAGGCGCTTCTTCGCGGCTCCTCTTTTTTTGCCGGCACTGAAAAGTAAACATTCTCTATCTTCAATCCGGGTTTACGAAGATGTGTATGTTTTCCGAAAGTCCCAAGCCTAACTAAGAATAGCGTGAATTATTAGCGTCAGTCTGCTCATGGTTCGCGAATTTCGAACTTTTCCTTGGGGGGGAGTCGTCGCAGCTGGGAGTTTTCAAACCTTCCCGTTTTTTGGCCTTTAGCCGGGAACGGCATGATAACAGAGCCCGTCTCTCTGCGTACTGCTGATAAAACCCCCTCGGGTCAAGATTCGGACCATGAGAAAGCTAAACTTTCCTTTCCTTCAGATTTAAATAAAGACGTTTCTGCTCGTCATAGATCAGCAAGAATAACATCCCCAACTTCGACGACTCCCCCCCACGGAAAAGTTCAAAATTCGATTTTTTGTGAACCGTAAGCTGACTGACGCTAGTACTTCCTACTATTCTTAGTTAGGCTTGGGACTTTCGAAAAAGATCTTCGTAAACCCGGATTGAAGGAAGAGAATGTTGACTTGTTAGCTCCTTCGTAATTCCGAATCAGGACTCTGATGTGACGAATCGGTGAGTGTATGAGGAATCCGTCGGCTGAGAGCGGCAATCTGCGCGAGAAAAAATACCCACAGGAGGATATTTTTTTTGTTGAATATTCATCCATCCCAAATAAATTTTTGTTCAAAACTAGTTTGTCCTAATTTGGCCTCGCTGAATACCCATCTTGGAAGGAGCTTCGTCCGTCCAGAGCCCGAAGAGCTCGACGGGATTCGGATTACGCTTCACATCCGAGCGGCAGCGGGGGAAATTCTCAATATTGCTAAGATCTTTTTTTTCGGGGAAACCTTCGGAGGCGAATCGCACTAGCTTACTTCTACCCGACTGGAATCGATTTGTTTATCTATGGACGATCTCCGCCCGTGGAAAGACACTCGCCACACCTCCGACGCATGGAATTTCATGACTCTCTTTGACACAACTTCCTCAAAATTACCTGAGGAGTCTATTTCTGGGACAGCGAGTCTTTTTTTGACAGGCTTGGGAGGGCATTGCCTCATTCCGATTTTATAATGTATCATTATTATTATTATTATCATCTCGAAAATTCAGCTTCATTGGGCTCCCCAAGTCGACATTGCACTTGATCGAAGGTCAGCCGCAACCGGCCGATGGAGCGGATAAGGAAGCGAGGAGCCCAATAGGTCACATGCAATGATCATCCCAGGGAAGAATGAGGAGCGTGTGAAGATCAGAATGGACGCGAAAGATCAATGGAGGAAGCCAGAATTCGAGGATTCCCTCCCTGTGTGGAGAATATCGATATTTCTGAGCAAGATCAATTTATCGCTCCACCTTCTATACATTTCTTTGGGCCGCTTGAGAGAAGCCCTAGACAGTGATCCAGGTACCCATCGAGGATTTATTGAGACCGGAGAGCTCGTAATCAGAGAGGTCTAAATTGGAATCGATGGTTTCTGCGCGGATCGCCATCGGAATGGACGGCATATTTCATGGCGCGATTTAAGAGCATGATCTTTCCGAACTGTCAGTTTTGGACAATCGTCGGTGATGAGAAAGACGAAGACAGCAGCGGCCTCCGACGCTGTATTTAAATCGAATCGAAGCTTGATCCGCTCACTCTGTCTCGAGTCGTCAATCAGTCAGGACTCGAGCACGTCGTCGGCAGAATGAAGCTACTCGTCGCACTTTTAATTTGCGGCTTTTCCACCGATATCGCCTTCTCCGACGAGCGTTCCGAGGTATCCTCTGAACACTCTTCGTCTAGCGAAGAAGAGGAGACGACTCCGAAATCGGACTACGCGAAGATTCCTCGCGACCAATACCCCACAGGAGTGGCTCTCGCGAGCGCACCGTACCGTCCGACGTACGACGAAGCAGCCGAGAAATTGGCGCGCAAACTGAGCGAGGAGAAACTGCGAGAGTCAGGCCAAGAAGAGTGGTCCGATGAAACTAGACCCGGAGAGTATTCTGCGGAGCATGGCAGCCAGTCCGAGGAAGATGCTTCGAGGGAAGAACCGCTCCCGAGTGTTTACGAAAATCGGCGAGATCAATCGGTCAACCCGCGGAAGCCACACGTTCATTCAGCACAGCACCAAGCGCACAAAAGACAGCAAGTGCTCTTCGCTCTGAGCTACCTCAAGAACATGATGGCCGACCCGAAAGTAGCGAGGAAACTTCAATCGTCAACTAAACACAAGTTCAAGCGAGAGATGCGGCGACTCGAGACTGAGATCAAGTCGATTTCATGGGACGAGTTCCACAAAAAACGTGTCGAGCTAAATCACCAGTGAAATCGTGATTTCTTCGGAAATGAAAGAGCAAGAATTCGTCTGAGCAATCATGAAGAAGAAGGTCAAGCTCTAAGACTCGTGATCCTCTCACGGGATCTCCCATGTGATTTTCTTCTCCTTCAGGCTCCAAGAGCATGAGCGCCTCGTCATCGACTTTAATCGTGTAGAAAGTTTCAGACTGGTTCGCCTTGACGTTTTTGATAAAAATCCTGTTGTAAATCATTATCATCTGTTTTCTGTATCTCCGCAAGAGGCTAGGAGAATCGCTTCTTCCAAAAGATATGCGAGTATGCGTGCTAACTCTCGTGGGGAAGAATACGGATCCCCCTCGTAAAACTTGCAGACCATCAAGAGTTACGCATCCCGCGAAATAATGATGCATGATGCGTACGGAACGGAGGCCGTATAATAGATAAACAGAGGAGAGGACCAAAGTCGTCTGTGGATTCGAAAACCTCTTACATGCGGTAGTCTTCGGTGGTCCACGGAGAACAGTGAACAGCAGTGAATATCTCTCGAATTGGTTGGGACTCTCCAGACGACACCGAATGGGTGGGACGCAGGTGGGACCCGTGGCATGCATGCACGAATGCATGCAGGCAGTCAGGAAGATATTCAGACATCTTTCCAAATTCAGAGGTGAACTCACAGCGACTCCTCCTTGAGATTTCTTTAAGCTATCATTAGGAGTATTGTGCGACAATCATTGTAGGTCAACCGAGAAAAGGGGGGAGGGGCGATCCCGGATCGACGGATGGATGAGGTTATAAGGTATTGTGCCTCTGGCTAGGTGGATTCTCGCACCAGGCACACCTCCTCTGGACCGGCGCCCTAGCGATAGACCGTGCAGCCTCCCTTTAACCGTGTCTCGGCCAGACTCGAATTCCAGAGTGATCAGTGATCACTTCGCATTCAGGCACCGGGTTTATCTAGGAAGAAGCCGCGGGCAGTAAACTGAGGAAACTCCAGGCTGCTTCACAAATATGAGCAAGCGATTTACTCCCATCGACATATCCTCACCATGAGCCGGGGAAGGGCGGGGGTTCACCTGGAATCAAGCCCAGAGACATCAGACAGAGGAATTTAAGCAAAAACCCCGATTATCCTGATGGGGCTGGCAGAGTTTCTTATTCGATGAGATTGGACATCGAAGGCAAAGCTCAGCGATCACAAATCGAGAGAGGATGACGCTTCTCTTCTTCTCCCGACTTCCGCCGCCGATTGACTATTCCTCGGGAATCATCGAGATCTTCGAGCTAGCTCGAATTATTCTGACATTCTCCGAGCTCGCTTCGGTCGAGGCTTAAAGCTCTGACAGAAGCTCTCACGTTAAAAACTGCCAGCTAAGATGGTTTCAATGGCAATCAGCGACATATTTATAGCGGACCGCGCTCGAATTATCGAGCTCTACTTGACGGCTCTATTTCAGTATGCGAGATCAAATCTGTTTCGTATTTAAGTGTCGACGAATTCTGAACCAGGCACTTGCCTTGAGAGATTGAGTGATAGTGCGATCGGGTCACCACAGTGGAACAGTTCATCGAGACCGTGGCAATGAGGCTCTACATCGCGTTGGTCGCATGCAGCCTCTGCTTGTCGCCAGGATCGGCAAAACATGGGCGCAATAAAGCCCGATTTTATCGAGCCGGAATCGAGGGAAGTTTCCGTGGAAGGCCGCACCCAATGAACAATTTTAATGGGGAAGATGACGACACTTCCTATAGCTCATATCTGGACCGACTACGCAGTCCCGATAGTCGGGGTGAGCGCGGCCTGGTTCTGCGATTCCGCGATCAACGAGAGTCGAGCGAACTACGTCCAGAAGAAGTCATCCGATCCTATTCTTCGTTTGATAGTGAAGCCGAACACGAGCCGTGGGCGAAGAAGCGGAATGACCTCCA